AAGTAATTTCCGTCCAAAACAAAAGTGAAGTCCACTTGCGCGGAGGCCTTCCTGTCAGGCAACAAAATCATCGCTGCTTCTGTTCACGCGCAAATAGACCCTTTTAGCCTTCAATTTTCACGAGGTCCTTTGTGTTTTCGCGGAAACAAAATGTGTTTTTCATCGAATTTTATAGCACTGCTACTCTTGTTTTGACTGAAAACTCCTGCAATGTAGGAATACAAGATTACGGCGCGACTACATTCGGCTGTCAATACAGTCCCAAAAAATTGGAGGAATCGTATGTGTGCGTGGGAATACGCCCTGTCTCACCTACTCAGTCACTCCATCACAGCGGATAACGTGATTGTTACAATAGCAGCTGTATGCCACAGATGTGGCCCTAGTAACCAGAGACAGCGAGACAGTGGAAGGCAATGGATTCGACCTTCAAGACAAACGACACTGAGATGATCACTTCTGGCCCATATAGCTATGTTCACCACTCCAATTCCCCAGGTAGAGATCGAGAAAGTCCACATCGATAGCAGTTAGGTCCGTGCGGGGCGCGATACGTGCTCAACCCATGCCGTAGAACAGGAAATATTTGACTCAGGGCTTTGTATACCCTCAAGTGACGACGAAATCCACCCTACGATCCAATCTGGTGGGTGGCTCTGTCATCTATGTGGATGGTCCCACGTACCGTAGGAAAAAATGTGGTTTGGGGGCTATTTTGCAGGCTATTTGGATGCTGTTCGACGCACCAGAGTAACTGCCTTATTCCTGGCCTTTCCAGTCTTGAATGGAGTACGATGATAAACGACCCCAAGTGATCATGCTAGTCCTCCACGAAGCTTCACATTTACAAGGAATACTAACATGCCAAATTTTTGATGAATATGGTGGAATGAACACCGCTTCAAAGCAATAGGCTCCGTCAATCCTGTTGAATTCCAGTCCCTGTAAAAATTTCTCTAGGGCTGCATACATACATAATGAAGTATGCTTAAACTAACGGAAGATCTCTAATTAGTCGAGCAAGGTCCTGAATTTATAATTAACGACCCTTAGCTAAATGAAAGGCAAAGGAAATATAGGGGGCAGTATTATGTTGGCTAAAAACGAAATTTGTTAAGAAAAGCAGAACTGAAGGGAAAGCATAGATTCATGTAACATGAGCAAACTCAATTTTAGGATTATATTTACCCTCTCCATGTTAACAATTGACCAAATATAATGTCTTATGTAGAGCAACAATATAAAAATATTTAGCTTGTACAGGGCACACTCAGATGTCCTACAGATAGCGTCGATTTCCACTCAGACGGGTCGACTTTTCCTCCCTAACAATTAATTGGAAACATATTCTTCATGAGTGGAAAACCGTTTCCGGAAGGAATAAGACGAATGCGATAGTTTTAGGTGACCTAAAACGATGATTTACATTTTTGTCATCACGTTTTGAGTTACACGCATACAATGTATGAATGGGGCCCTTGAAAGCAGTTCTCAGTTCGCTAGTGTGCTGATCAATGGCCGACTAAGGCTAATTTGCTTTTGCGTCATTTAACCTGGAAATGTTTCTTCAGTAGGAAGTTGAATCCGAGTCTAACCGATGAGATCATAGTAGCTAGGTTTGGGTTCAATTGGAATAGTAAAGTAGCGCAAATGATGCGAAATCGGTAGGAAAACTGCATTACTTTCAGCCATACACTGCACATAAATGGTCGGGAGATTAGACGAACTTTTTTAATGAAACCGCTAAACGCCTACATCAGCAAGTCTAAGAAAACTATATCTTTCTAGCTTCCAAGCAATCTCCTTTTTTCCCATATTCGGGTCTACGGAATGCGATATTTTAAGGCCGTAAAGAAGCATACCGATGTACGGCATGTGCATGCGCGTGAAGTATAAGCGGAAAATCGTTCTAAAATGTCACATATTTCACTTTTCCCTGCCCACTAATCGATTGGACCGAAAGCTAAGATGCCACGATTTGGGCCGGTATTTTCCGACTGTGTTCTGGCCTATGCGAGAAAACAGAAAGGCCTATATTCCAAATAAGTATAGCCACTTTCGCCCTCTAAGGATACATCTCACTGTCCGTTTTTCATTAGTAATTGGCCTGCTCTCACCCTTCTCTTGCAACCTCAGGCAACCAGTTTTCCGTCAGTTGGTTAGTTCACAGACTAAGGTTTCTGTCAAGAAGTCATCTTCTGTAAAAAAAGCCATCCTATTTTCACCCGGTTTTAACTTGGCCGTCTCATATCGCTTCTGCTTGAGGACACCGGAGAGGTTTTGAGCGAGAAACATTATTTGAGGTTACACATGGCCTCCTCTAGCTAAAAGTAACTTTTATGAGCAAAAAATTCAGTGCAGACAGGATGTGTACGTACTTTTACGTCGTCAATTTACGACCCTTCCGCTCCCTGCTTCCCAACCACGCACGCAATTAAGGAGCTCAATAAATAAATTGCCTTTAGCGGTGCCCAGTTGACAAGGGCAATTTTTGCTAAAACTTGTGAAATTTTCCAATAGGCTGGACGGTTGATTTTGGCAAATTTGTTTAAATTAATGACAATGTCCTGCCCGCCCTCCTAACATGACTGCCTAACCACCAGCCAGCACAGAAAACTGAACACAGACGTATTCGTAGGGCGATTGAGCGCTACGCCACACGACCTTCATTATGGAAGTATGAAGTTGTTTGAATCTGAATAATCCAGTTAAAACGTCCTTCATTTGATTCAAAATATGTCGGCACACCTAGTTAACACGCGAGTTTTAATTTGCACAAGGAGCACCCCGTTAAAAAGCGCTTAATTTGGTGGAAGCGGTTTCTCAGAGATACGACTTGACCACAGAGCACTAATCGGCGTTGGTGCTAGTTTTATTCAGCCAGCCATAAACCTAGCCACGGTCTAGAATCAGAAACACGAAGCTACGTAGAGGGGCAGCGCAGATGGTCAGCAGACAAGGTCTATCAGAAGTCCATTTCTCACCAGTGCCTCGCCAACTGGTACTCTCTGCGCCGCAGAGTGCCGATTTGTGCTTTCTGCCGTACGATTGTTTCATTTACCTCCCTGAATCCCATTGTTATTATCTCGAGCTGTGCAAATGTTCGCCACAAAAAAACTGCGAATCAGTTTGAAGTAGTCGCTCCTCCCGATAACTTTGTTTGAATTTTGCATCCGCTCCTCTAGAGGCAGCAATTTTGTGATTAATTTATTTCGCTGAAACACAATGATACTTAGCCTAGCCATGCTGAGCGATTGAGGCTTCGGGCTTCCACTTTCGTCTTCGACTTCTGTGTACTCGAGCAAATGCAAATTTGTTGTTATCGCAGCCTGTCTGACATGTCAGGAAGCTGCACTTATGGAAGGCTCTAAGCATAACATGGACACTTCGTCAAGTGCGCTAAACGTAACTATCCGTGTGAGATAGGCAAAGATTATTCGACACTGGTTATATAATAGAGAGCTGACGGTGGCAGCAAGTCATAAAAAGCAAACGGTCTTGGTCCTCAACTGCCTAGCAGATAAGAATACCGATTGTTAGGGTAAGCAACCTCCCCCTGCTTGAGACGCGTACTCTTGAACTGAGCTGGTCTGGTAATTGCCGAGTTCAGGATTTTCACTGAAGACATTTCTCTGTAAATAAGGGGAGTTCCTTAGAAAAAAAAAGTCAACTTAGGGCTGCTGCATTTTCGGGGATGATTGCAGAGCCTAAAGTTCGGCGAAATGTTTTGACCTCAAAGTAAATCTACGCATAGGTTTACCCAGGACTAAGTACTTTATCCCAGACAATGTCTACTTTAGTAACATGTACAGTGTCAAGCTCGTTTTACAGTGAAATTTGACTGTCTCGATTTCATCGCGTAGCATAGGAGTTGACTCCCAATCATCAACCTGACAGGTAGTGGGCTATGCTGACCGAGAAGGCGAAATAAACTTAAAGTAACTGCTCACGTTTCTCCCTATTTCCGGCACTCAAACATAACATTATGACCGGCCTTGAGAATCTCCCTAGAGTCTGCAACCGCTAGATCCCAGCAAGTCGCATCTGATTCTCTTTAGGTCCATTATGTGAAGGTTGGGAAGTACTGCTAACTGGTTGGTCACGACACCAGAGCCAGAGAGGCTAACTGTTCTACTCTCTGCCATTCATCACTAGCTGTTTTCTGTCAAAAGAGAGGCAGACAGAGGTGACTTGCTTAAACGCACCTTCAGCCGCTGAATGGACCGGCAGAAAGGCGCATACTGGCAGCTTGAGTTGTTCAGTTGCCACTGTAGACAGAACTCCCAGAGGTCTTTCCTGGTAGGGCAAATTCTTCTGTTTCAAGGCCTGACAGAGGGAACTCTCCAGGACGGTGCGCACTCTCTGCGCGCCATGCTCCTCAGATTCCGTGATGGAACAAATCTCCTGAAGGTGTTGTCTGGCTAGGAAATCCTAGAGTAAAACACAGCAAATAAGCATCAATGCCCGCGT